AATATAAATTTGAATTTGTATTTGATTTGATTTTCAAATCAAATATTCAAATGTCAAATCGAATTGCGGAACCCTACACACAACTACGGTGGACAATTGCGTACTGTTCACCTTATGGTTTGCGTATCCGTTGTGTGTCCGTTGTGGGCAATTTCCAAGTCATTACCCGTTTTATTTTTTCATAACGTTCCTTCAATCACTATACTTACCTCTTGACTCCCAATTATGTAAGGAACACCGCGAAAAATACAATGATGTCCGAATATTTTGGAATGAAATAGAATCATCTATTGCCGATTCGGACTTACATTTGGATAAGGTTCATTAAATTACCCATTTTGTTTGAGTTCCTTTTATAATTCAGACTTGTATTGACCTAATATCATGATTAGGTAAAAACGGCTCGAACAGTAATGCATGGCACCGAGAGGTTGATCAAAACTGCTTTAAACGAAGTTGATAGCACACTGAGAACCGATGGAGGTTTTGTCTCTAATAATGTACCGGTATATTTACATATGTTCTTTTTTGTGCCACTTGCTTCTACACCTATTCTCCTATAGTTGTTCATTAAACATCTCTATTCACTACATCACATGTGAATTTCAAAGAATGAACGACCAGCCGAAGAAGCTCTATCTGAAGGAGTTTTTCCAATCGGGAATACAGACGATATTATCAACGCCAGAACTTCTTCAAAAAGAGGTTTGAATTGTGAAAAGGTATAAATGCGTATTTTTCAGCTATAACTGTTATTTGCGATTTGTTACTAATGATCTACATTACTTAAGAACGATGATGTAGTTACAAAACGGGGTAAAATCGAGGAAAAATCACAAGATCTACCTATTGAAGCCACCTCCGAAAAGAGCACTGAGGATGAATCACGTAATACTCCAACACCATGCATTTATATTAGCTCAGATAGTGAAACTTATGAAGAGCATAAATTGGATGAGGATGATGACGGATTCTTTGATGATATAAAAACGGTTTCATTCAATGATTATTTAAACCAAAATAAAGAATCCGAATGGAAATTAAGAGATGGTCGTCTAATCGTTGATATTGTTAACATTAAGACCGCTGAGTTAATAAAATTAGCTTCGGAGAAAGAGAAGAAAGAACGAACGCAATTTACGAAAAGTGTTATCCGGTATGTTCTCTTACTTTTCCGAAATAGGTTATTAATATAAAAAATTCTAACATAGTAAAAACAGATTAGGGCTTTCATCAATTATCGATTTGTCTTCAGAGTTTGAAGATGGAATGTATACATGGTTTGAGCAGGAATGGACAGATATTAAAAGAAAAATCTATGGGGTCGTTAATATGGAGCCGAACGTTTTCGAAGGAGAGATAACAAATGTTATTGATACTGTCGAAGAGGTTATTGTCTTCTGCGCATACATACATGTTACTTCATTACTTATTCATGTCTATTTTGACCATTCTCAGATGTGCGATAGGTACAAATATTATGAAGTTCGCGACTATTTATTTAAGATCAGAACTGGCGATCATTCTCAAATAGTACAGCAAATAGCCACAGTATATTTCTACGTGTAAGTTATAAATTTTTTTTACAATTTATAATTGTGATTATCTACTGATACTGTTAAATTTATTAAATTTATTGTTAGGATCGATGAATTTTTAAAAAATCCGTTCATATTTGTAGACAAAAAAGGCAGATATCAGGAACTCAGCGAGATTGAATACGCAATGGCTATGACTAGACCAATAATAAATAATGTATTCAGTGACACCTTTGATTATCTAAAACTTCGCTGGTAAGTTTATCATTATTGTTATCAATGTTTGTACAAGCAATGATTTGATTGAATACTTGTATATAGGGGAGAAACATTATCTAATTTCATATCTGATCGTCGTCGAAAAATCGATTTGAGAATTGTTCATAAGGCCAAAAATCTTGAACTAAGTCATTCCGAATGCGCCAAAGCTCCTACTCCTGGAAAGGCTGTGCAAGATCGTTCGAAATGTTTACGAACATTGAAAGGTGTTCTTGATAACTTGTTAAAAGAAGATTTGTCGGATGAAGAAGTTCAGGACTCAAAAGTATTGGGCATACAGTTTGCTGGTAAGATATATTGAACTAGTTAACAAATAATTATATAATTAACATTTTGTTTATTACATAAGGCTTGGATGGCCAGATAATAGGGATAGATCTACTTGACGACGGACTGTATTTCGGATTAGAGGGACCAACTTTTAGTTTTCCAGCGCAACTTATAAATATAAAATGTCTTCGTGGAGCATTGGAGGCCTTATATTTCTTCAAAGTAAGATACTGGCACCCTGTTATTGTTTTTAATTTATACTTATTTGCATTTTTATTTTCTATACTTTTAGCAAGAAGTTGTTAAAAAAATGAAGCTAATACCTGATCCAAAAAAGATGAATCACCCATATAATCAGATATTTCACTCAAATTCGGGTACTTTAATAAAAGCAAAACATTTTAAAACTGAATTTATTCGAGAAACACATTTCACACCAAAAAAAAGACCAGAAACACAGAAACAGTCATACAAGGATCTAATGTTAACCGAAGAATTATGCATTCCATTAGGCAAAGATCTTGGGCTTGACTACAAAAAAAAATATTAACGCTATATTTAATGCATATAAATCTGCTCTAAATCGCATTTTTACCTTTGCTCAACCCCTAATATATATAATCCTGTATTTTTAACATAAACTAGAAATATGCTTTACCATAATAAACTAATAAACTTAACTAATTAGTCCTGAGCGTATGACGTTATGACAACCTTAGTAGCAATTCTTAACTGTGATGAAGTTTTTTGTATCCGTACTCCGCATACATTATTATCAATAAAGTTTTCGTCTATAGTTCGAACATTTATTTTTTACATAAGTATGTGTGGGGTGTAATGCATCAATGCATCAGACTAATAGTGAAATTTTTTTGATCGCCACTACTAACGCTAAGTACTGCGCACCATTTTTTTTGCTTCAGTCATATGATTAACAAGAAACCGATACGCTTGTAATCGAATAAAAATGAATCTGACGTATTGTTATCGAGTCGATTGAAGGCGACTTTGAAAGTTCGGACGATGATAGTGATTCTGATGATTCTGATGATTCTGATGGTGAATTGATATTTATTGTAATATACTTGTTACAAATTGATAATTATGTCAGGAAATGTTATTAATAGACTAAGGCCCAATAAATGTATTGATTATGATATAGAATATATTAGAGGATATTAATGTATATCGGTTATAGCCGTCCCATTCAATTTGAAGAGATAGTTGAGATGAAAAGAATATATGATTATTTATTTATTATTAAATTATATGAAACTCCAGAACAATGGGCTAATCGTGTAAGAGCAACTTTGCAAGCATTGATTACTGAAAAATACAGAAGTTATTATTTTGTATTCTGCTTTTTCGGATTATTTGGGCAAGGAGCCAAAACATACTATGATAACTATATAGGGAAAGAAATTCCCATTAGTTATCACAGGCCTAGGGTTCACAAAAGCAAAATGGCTATTTGCTTTGAATTGTTGGAAGTTGGTAAAGATCACTGATGTAAAACCAAAAAAGACATATTTTAATGGATGGCGCAGATATGGCTATGAAGTTAAACCCGAAGACTTGATGAAACTTCATTGGGATAATGAATGCTCCAAAGCTAAAACTGAGGATGGAAGTGCTCAAATTATCCAAAGAGCTTATAGAAATTACAGGAAGAGGCCTGTTTCATTAGCAAAACAAGTTTAGGAAGTAGTTAGAAATGATAACACTCCTAAAGAGAAGAAGTTTCTTAAAATGCCTGGTAGAGATCATCTTTGTACTGTGAACATATATGGTATTCTATTTATGAAGAATATAGACCTTATCGTGTTCTGTAAGATCAAATTCATAATTATATAAGTTATTCTGAGCATAAGAGACACCAATTGTCTGATAGACTATCTCATCAAGAATTAGTCGAAAAACAGTTATAACAAGAGATAGCTGAAAGACAATCTCAACAAGAATTAGCTAAAAGACAATTGCAACAAGAATTGGCTAAAAGACAATCACAACAAAAATTAGCCAACAGACTTTTATGGTAACTATTATCCATTGAAAATATCATGTCTAAAGTAAATAAGGTTCCTTCTTCTTTGCCATCAAAGTCTTTTTTATTAATTTAGCATAATGCAAATGCGTTTGAACTGAAGTATTTCTTAGATTATAGAACACAATTTTATACTAGACCCTTTCTCTGAAAGGCAGTGTGTAAAATCTATATACATAATATGCACATGTTCACATTAATTTTTTGTGTGCACATATTATACAACATAAAATATGCACAAATTATTACTAAAAATAGATAAATTATGTATTAAAAAGGTAATATTACATAAGAAAATGTTATGATTTTCTTATTTTAGTAATAATTAATCAATTTGTGCACATAAATTTAACTTAGATTTTATATACTGTTGAAAGGTCTCAGACCACGAACATGATATCTCAATTCTGTATGAAAAAAATGCATAGATAATTAATATGTATAACTATTTACATAATTTTTTTTCTGGTAAAAGTAATTATTTCTTGGCAAAAATGATTGGCATGACAAATAGTCACGCACACATAACTTTTTTTATTTCTTATGAGCAAATATAGCTTAAGCAAGAAGTTCAATAAAGCAATCATAGGGATTCTTAATTCCTAAATACTATAATTATAGCTTTAAAAATTTCTATGCAACAGTTATCTAGCGAGCTTATAGGAATTACAAGAAGAGACCCAAATCTTTAGCAAAACAAGTTTAGGAGACAGTGAGAAATAATGATACTTCTGACAGGTTGAAATATTTAGGCAATATTTCTTGTGATGAGACTTATTGTTATATTAATGGAAAATTAATAAAATATAATGGGAAAGTTGATCAATTTCTTTCACAATTTAGTCATACCATTTATATAACTAGAACTTAGGTAGAAGTTAAAAAGAATCAATTATTATACTAATTAGATTGGGTACTGTTAACGTGCGATTTTAGTGGATCGCTACAGTTAAACGAGGTGTTCAAGAGTTGTTTCTTTTTAATGTACATAGTAATCTACTGATTTATTCCTAAGTTCTGCATTTATAATTGGTTCTACCCAAACGTATTTAACTGTAACTCACTAAGACTAGTGTATTTCCAAAGATTCATAACAACTGTTGTTGTTACGAAGGCCTAACTGTTACCTTAATTCACAAAGATTTACACAATCGCTCAGGTTTTATAAGATCACTCAGATGTATA